CGGAGCGGGGAGGGTGGAATCCAGCCCCTCCCCTGTCACGGCAGAGAGCCGTGACAGGATCGAGAGGTGAGCGAACGCCGGTATGTGTTCGCTCACCTCCCGATTTTACTGAGCCGACCTGTGACAGTCTCATTGTCACAGGTCGGCTAGAACTATGAGGTGAGTGAAAAGCACTCACCTCATAGTTCTCCTTTAACAACAATCCATGGAGGGGTAGCGCGGAGAAGCTAGGTTGCAATAATGGTTGGGAGCTGACTCTTAGAGGTGGCTGCAGAGGACCCTGTAAGAGAACAGTCACCCTAAAAACAGAAGCAGAGCTTAGGGAACATTGAATTTACAGGGAGATGGCAGGAGGAAAACGGTAGGCATACATCAGACACTGGAAATTCAGATGTATGCTGCTGTGTAGCTTTTTTATTATTATATGGGTTTGACACTCATAGATCGAAAACGCCCCCCCCCCTCCTCCTCTGCAATCCATGTCTGTGTGCTAAGACGTTGACTGTTACTCAACTATGCTAGTGCAGAGTACTCTAAGAAGACAGCAGCCTCCACTTCAAACCAAACTTCAACTCCTAATCATTACCATGAATGGTATAGACTTTACTGATTTGTGTGCCATTTCCTTTCTTTTCAAAAGGTAGCAATATGCCTAAAAGTCCCACTCTTGCACTTTACTTGCCACTGGGCATGGACTTCACAATTGTCTTAAACTAACCTAAAGCGAACCTTTACCCATATCTTTAAAATAACAACAAACACACCTTTTTAGAAATGTTTCTAATTACCTCCAGGTAATTGCGGACTTTTTGTATTTCTCTTTTCTTCCCCATTCTTCTGACGGTGGCCATGTTTACTAAAGTCAGGTATCTAGATCTCTTATTATTTTCTGGATTTCTAGCACATGTGACCATGCACATCATCTCAGGGGAGCAAAATGCCTTTCCCTGAGATCTCAGTTAAAGGTCCGCTTTAACTGTAATCTTGCAGTGGTGTATAACTTAATCTCTGTGCATATATTTGGCTCCAGGTGCATTATTTGTAGGTTGATTTAATCTGGGATATTATACAATCTAACTGTTCTCTAAAAAAACAAACGGTCTGACACTTTTTTTTTTTCTCCCATTTAGTGATTTGATGAAGATGGAAAGAGCACGGTCTGCGGTTACAAATTTTGTAAGTTGTTGCTTTACTTGGTTTCTTTGTAACGCTGTAAATATGAGGTCTTTTGAATGTGGGCAATCCTGGTTTCTGAGATCCTGACAATTGGTAGCTACATATGCAAACAGGCATTGCCTAAATGTCTTGGGGATTAAAACAAACCTGTCCTGAGGGAAATGGGTACCCTAGTGTTTCTCACTTCTCCTTTAAGAAAGTTTTACTTTCCTGGCCTGCATACTGTCTTCAATACTTTTAGTGAATGACTTGTGACTTTATTCTTAAGTATTGGAACAGCAGGACAGCCAAGCTTCTAGTGTTTAGAAGTCAGCCATAACCACTTCCATATTTTTTTTTCAGCATGGATTTTTATGGGTTAATCCATAGGGACCCACCATTTTTGCCTGCTTTTGCCTGAGCCTGACACTTTTTATTTTGAGCACCGGGAATCGCCTGAGGTTTGACAATTGCTGGTCTGTCAACTTCCAGACTTTACACACACTCGTGTATAGTTAACAGCTACAGTTGTGATATTGGACACCTGTCATGCTTGAATACCATTCTGGTCTAATAAGTAAAGTTATGATGCTATAGAAACCCAAAGGCTAGACCTTATATGTGACCAACCGGTGGCTTGCAATGCAGCAGAAATACATAGGTTTAAAAGGATACAGAAAATGCATACAGTTGGAGTACATAATAAAGTCGCCTTTAAATATTTGTAGACTGGAATTACTAAGACTTTAAGGCAGATGTAGAAAATGGAAGAGGTCCAAGCTCCTCAAATAGCTTGGTTATCGGAGTCCGCTTCTTATAGAGATGCATTTTCTTTGATCCCACGTTTCTGTTATGAGATGGGAAAAGTGGCTGTTAACATTTTGAGGATTTCTCCCATAGAAAAACTGGAGTCTTAAGGAGATTTTGTGTGTGGGTAAATCAAGAATGCCAGTAGACACCCTCTGCAAACCTGAATTGTTTTCTGTGAAGTCATTTGACCTCTTGTCAAAATCCCTGGATACCTTTTTACAGGACCGAAATGCATGCATGAAATCCACCTGATCTCTGCAACCCATGAAACATAATGCAGTAGATTTAGGTTTCACTTTATAAAGCCTATGTGTTGTAAAGTAGGTTTGATTCAAAATAATTTGTGCTGTATCACTATTACCTTGAAGAGATTAGACGACATATACGTTTCTTCAAATTCAGAACAACACTCTTTCTCCATTGATAGCAGCACACATCTTTCTTTAAAAGAGAACTAAAGCCAAACCTTTTCTGGCTTTAGTCCTCTTTGGTTCAAAGGTGTACATTTACTAATGTACTCCTGTGACCCGAGGTCAGCATCTAGCAGGCTACTGCACACTATTTGCTGACAGCACAGAGCCACGCTGCAGCTGGTTCCTCCAGTGAGCGCTGGAGGAACAGAGGGTAGGGGAATCCCTGCATGGAGCGGTGACTGACTGGCAGTCACCAATCTGTAGGGAGAAGACTGCGAGCTGAACGATCAGCGGTTAGTGTTAACTCGGCTTTCAATCTACAGAGCTGTAATGTGACACCTGCAATGTCACACTGGCTCTAAGTATTGGAAAGAGTACAATTTACTCTCCTCATTACTGCTCCTTTAACCTTATGCTATGTAAAGTTTTTATGTGTTTTTAATTCACAGCCTTTGAATGTAAAGGGGGATTTTTGCTTTCGTACGTTTGACTGTAAGCTTTTTCCCTCTCTAAACTGTGATAAATCTCTACTAGTTTGGCAGGGTCCCTCTCGCCTATACTCGCTTCAGTTTGACGCCGCAGACAGATGGAGATGCAAGCCAAGTGGAAATGAAACTGGCAGATGATGAGGAGTGTGGTGACACAACACTGGGTGAACCTGTCCTAAAACACAGACAGGGCAACAATGGAAGCAGAAGCTTGTGTCTTAAAATCCTGGCAGTCATTCTGTTGTTCTTTATTGGTAAATACTAAAATACTTTTTGTTTTAAAGTGACATCTTAACCATAACTGGATAGCCTTTTTATTTGCTAAAGAACAATCTATTAAACAATTGCCAATTTTGTTCATTTTTTTGCATCTCGGTGCTGCAAGTATCTGATATCCTGAGGCCTCTTTCAATCACTTTTGTCTACATGCATTTGCTACAGCATTGGTTGCACATCATTGCTCTTGACCATCCTTCTGATAATGGTGGCCAATGCTTCTCAGCATGGCTGCCCCACTACGGGGTGCATGTGACTGGTTGACTATGTAAAAGTACAATTGGAACTACTTTGGAACCCCCATAACAGGAAGGGCCTGAATAAGGATCTTCATGGGTAGTATTACAGCTACTCTTTTAATGAAAGCTACATATTTCAATAGACAACATTTTAACTTCTTGGCTTGTTAGATTTTACTGATTTGGGTCTGTCTCTACTTTTACTTTTTTTTATTTATTGTTTTTACTGCAGCTATGTAACATATACTTTTGTCTTGCAGGTTTTCTGATTGGGTACTTAAGCAATAGAGGGCGTGTTGCAGCTACACAGGAGCTCAAAGTCGATGGTGCAACTACACTGGAGACCAAAGTAGATGGTGCCAATGAGGAAGAGAATGCAGAGGAATCTTATACGCAAGACAGCCCTAGTGTCTTGTACTGGACTGATCTGAAGCCTTTGTTGGATAAAAGAATTGAACTCCTTAAATTTAAGACAAGCATTCAGTATGTAGCAATCCAATATGGCTTTAAGCTGGCCATATACTACTTAGATGTTAGCACTTTTTGGACTGTTTGATGGGGTCAGATCAACGATCAATTTCAACCTTAATGACAAAAAAGGATGCAGGATGGGAACATTTTACTTGAACGAAATTCTAACGGTGAATGTGGTTTTCATTCCAAAATCAAACTTTAAAATAAAACGAAATTTCGATCGACATTCGTCAAGTGTCTGATGGCATTATCGGGTGGTAAAGAGAGATCTTTAGTATGAACATTTTGTTCTGAAATCTACTAGTGTATGGCCAGCTTTAGACTAGCCTATTTTTATGATATCCTAGCTGGTGGTCTGTTGAAGTGAACCTCTCCTGACCCTAAAATTTGTAAGATAATGCTTTAGTAGGCTTACCATGTGCTACTCTTTAAAACTGCAGAGGCTCTGACATTTGACAGGTGAATGACCGAGGTATGGCTTTGCATTGGGAAAGGGCTTGACCTTAACTTGAAGTCAAGGTACTGTGCACAGCCTGGTCCTAGGATCCAAGGTGCTTTACAGGGACATGGGTTGGGTGTAAGGTGTCTGCTCTTTAGCAGTGTTGCTTTCTAAAGCTGGCCATACACCTTACAATTATCTGCAGATTTTCTGTGGTCAGATGGAAAAAGTGCAACAGATTCCTCTATCTACACTTAACTGTGTGGATGGAGTCATCTCCACCTGGGCCAATCTGTTGCACTTTTTCCATCTGACCACAGAATCTGCAGATAATTGTAAGGTGTATGGGCACCTTAACGCTTTTGATGACAGAATGGCTTGCTTAATTGAGTCATCAATGATTTGTGAAGTGGAGAGTCAAGAGTACTTAGACTTTCTGAATCCTGCTTTTTACCATCTTCCATGTGGCCTTAACAACAAAACTCTTACCTGTTAGTAGGTAAAGATATAGTAACCTAATGTTTACATGTAGCTGAAGCCATATGTCATATTTTACAGAAATCTGTGTGGTTCAACTCGTGAAGCTGGCTCTGTTAATGAAGAATCTTTAGCTGAAATGATGGATAGTGAATTTACGAAAATGGGATTGGACAAGGTGTGGAGTGATGAGCATTATGTCACCTTACAAGATAAAGGCAGGTAGGTTGTATTTGTCAACTGCATGGTAAGGACAATAAATGTGTGTAATAACTGTATGTGGTCAGGTTAATGTACTCGGCAGTAGTAGTTAAATCTTTTCCTCGCATTTTCACGGTAAAAAAGAAATTGTGTGTGTGTGTGTTCAGCCTCTCTCCGTCGGTGTGCCTTCTGGGCTTCCTCAGGGGTGCCTTGAAGTTTCACACCGTGTCATGCCTTGCCATGGCAATGAATGACGCTAATCCAGGGAGAGTGGAATCCATAAAAAAAAAGTTCTACTCCATCCAGGCGTGTTCCGCCTCCCACCCTCTGCCATGTTGCTGCAGCTTCTGATGTGAATGGGGGACTGAGAACTCTAATGTGAAAGAGGGGCTCTAAAATAAAGGTGGGGGCTCCTGGTGTAAAGGGGGACTCTGATGTGAAAGAGGGGAAACTAATCTGAGGGGGTGGTTGATGAGACTCTGGTGTTAAGAGGTGGATCCCACTTTTTGGTCTACCACCCCCATTTTCAGCGACTAAAAGTCCTGTATGATATAGATAAGTAAGAATACATTACAATATTCAACAGAAAATGCAATTTTCAGTATTTTCTGTTGAATACATTACAATATTCAACAGAAAATACAAAGAATCCAACAGACAAACAATAAATGTATATATTTTTATAAATGTTTGCAATAATATATGCATAAAAAAGTCCTGTATGATATAGATAAGTAAGAATACATTACAATATTCAACAGAAAATGCAAAGAATCCAACAGACAATAAATTATATAACACAGACATAGCTCATGTATTACACTGATTCATTTGTGGAACCGTTGCACATCCACCTGGCTTGTCGGCACCCTAGGGGTATTTGGGGGCTGATTTTATGCCAAGTAAGTGGACCTGTTAGCGAGTGGAGTGGTGTTAAAGGACATTCAGGGGTCCCATGGTTGAAGCAATTTTCGCTTCAAGGTACCATTTAGTGTCCTTTAAAGAGGGACATCAACTCTTGGAGCTTTCCTAAGGGCAGCTCCCAGTTAATAACGTGGTCCAGTTGGAGAAAAACCTGTCAGTGTGCGTATAGTTATCTCGGGCGTCAGTTTCTCTAGGGACATCAACTTATGTAGTAATTCTTTCGGGGCGGCTAAGGAAGGAGGGATAGGTGAAAGCCAGCTCGTTAAGATGGCCTTCTTAGCAGTGAGGTGTTCCCAGTGGGAGGGTCGTTTGGTAACTGGTGACGTAGAGGGATTAACTACATGAAATAGGCAGAGGGACGGGTCAGTAGATCTATGGGTGTCAGAGCCTGCATTCATGTAAGTTATAGTTTGTGCCCAAAATAATTGGATGAAGGGACAATACCAAAGTAGGTGTTCCAGGTTTTGGGATGGTGCATGACATTTGGGACATGAAGTCAACCAATAGGAGGGTGAGGACTTGAATTTAAGATTAAAGTCATAATACGCTCTGTGGATCACAAGTCATTTTGTGTGTATGTATTTTTTTTAAATTGTAGACTTGACGGCATCCATATTTTGCATACTTTTAAAGGGCGCCATGACTGAAAAAAGGTTGACAAACACTGGTGTAGTGGGGTGGGGGCTTTTAGGGAAATATCAGAGGTTAGACCCCTATCATCTAACTTTAGAGAGAAAGCAATTGAAGACTGTCTTCCAATCGCCTTCTCCTCTGCAGTCACATGAACAGTGAATACGGAAGTGCTCTTTACAGAGTGCTGCTGTGTTCAATCAAACCGAAGAGATAATAAACATACCATTCATGCTTTGCTATCTATGGCATGTTTCTCTCTTCAGTTATGAGAGTTATGCACCATTGAGCATTCTGGTGTTCATTCAGGAAATTGACGGATTCGTAAATATGAGGGGCATACTAAATGATTCCCCAGGTCTCCATCCTGAACTTATCAGATCCTCCCCACTGTGCACCTCAGTATGCTCCCCACTGTCCCTTCCACAACCTGCTATCTGTTAGTAAAGGCAGCAGCAATGGGAGGGCACATGGGTTGACAGCGGGTTGTGCAGTGAACACAGAGGGATTGCTGGCGCACAGCTGGGAAGAGCAAAAACTTCTGTTGCCCCACTGAGCTGCAAGAGATTCTCTTCTACCATAAGCCGTACGTTGGTAGCAGTGAAAGGGTTAAAATGGACCTTTACACGCTTTCACTAAAAAAAATCACATCCGCATACAGCTCTGCATGCTGATATGAATTCATCTTCTATTCATTAGCTAAAACAAATATTTTTATTTTACTTTACATTTTCTTTTATTTCCACTTCCTGGTCCACTTTGGCACAAATGATGTAATCGTGCCCAAGCATTGCATCCTGGTAAGGTTACAGCAGAGCTTTGCTGGGAAATCTCATGAGATCTCAGGAAAAGGCATTTTCCTCACCTGAGATGTTCATAGTTGCATGTTCCAGGCAGTAAATAGAGATATAGCAATCTGCCCTTAGTTAAAATGGCCACAGTCAGGAGACTGGGGAAGAAAAGAAAAAAAAAAAGGTATACAAAGCCTGCAATTATGTAGAAGTATCTGTTTTTAGATTTTCATTACTAAACCTTTCTAAAGGTGCCTTTTTGTTATTTTGAAGATATGGGTAAAGTTTCTGTTTTTAAGAAAGAAATCTGCTTGAAGTTTGTTAAATGCATTCCTGAATCCAAATTTGGTAGTATTTATACGTACAAGTGCAATGTGAATTCAAATCTAAGCTAGCTGAATGTCTGTGTCTTTCTGTTTTTTGAACAGCTCCAACAAAGTCCAGCTTTTTACATCCGGCAATCTAGAGACTACCTTTGAGCCAAGTTCATACGTGGCGTACAGCCCTAAAGGTTCCATTACCGTGAGTTGACGATCATAATAACTTTACGTTCTTTTTTGTAGTACACCTGGAATAGCAGTATATAGATCTGCTTGCACGAGCTGCAATAAAACTCAAATGAGGATGCCTTGCTAAATGCCCCTTCATTGGATCGATGCAGTTACCTTTTAAATCGAGATAACAGTACAGAGCAGATTTTGTGTTATCTGCCCTGCTTGGTGTTAGTCTAGTCACCACTGAGATCAGCACAGACTTGGGTTTTTTTTTTTTTTTTTTTTTTTTTTACTTTTTTTTTTTTTTTTTTTTTTTTTTTTTTTTTTTTTTTTTTTTTATACCTGTTTGTTAGTTTTAGCTGTGACTGTAAAGCTCTTGACTGTGCCAATCAGATTCTTGACATTTCTGTTTTTCTAATGAAAAGAACCTCACTGTACTGTGCAGCAAAAATATAGTTTTTCTAAAGCTCACCACACGCTATACACATTTACAAATCTAACTGTACAATATTCTTTAGCTCTTCCAACAACTGTGTATTGCAAGGGCCTGCCGGATATTATAACTAGAAACGCAAAGCTTTTTCATGCGTCCTTGTAATCCACATTCAGTGCACGGATAACTCTTCTGGAGTGATGGGCTCAAAAAAAAAAAAGTAAAACCAGCACATGATCTTCCAAAGAAATTCAAACTTTATTCCACTTGCATCTATACAAAGAACAACCGCTGACACGTTTCCGCCTTACTCGGCCTTAGTCATAGCTGGTTGTGTTCCAACACCAACCCCGCTAAAAAGCACGTCACACGAGGCGGGAAGAATCACTTAGGAGCACCTGTGTCTAATAAGCAGTCCATGTGATCACACAAAAAACTAAAAAGGAGAATACAGACTTAACTTCCGGGCTGTCCGGAGCCTCTATCTAATAGCGGGAGACTCCTGACACGCCTGGGAGAGTTGGGCTGTCTGAGAAAGTATGAGGCTGGTGACGGCTCTACGAGAGAAATCAAAGGTCATGTAGTAGTGTGGGAGAGCTGAAGAAATCCCAGCTCCTTGCAGAGTCTAGAGGGAAGGATTTGTGGGCCGGGACTGAGAGAAGACACGCTCTCAGCATGTTGTAGTTCTTCACATGAACCAGCACAGAGGATGGCTATGTTTCAGCTCCCGTAGGGACCATGGAAAAGAAAAGTAGCACCATCTGGCAGGAAGTTGTGGCTGGAGAAAAATAAATGATTTTGGAGCATTTAGAGCTGAACAAAGGCAAAACAAGTACAAGTAATTGATTATTTATAGAATAGAAGTTATTTTTATTTTCTGAGTTTAGTGTTACTGTAAAGGGCATTAACATACAATGAAGGAAAGGAGCAGGCAGCAAATCAACTTTCACGTTCAGAGCCTAAATGTAAAAAAAAAAACTGTAGAGAAGCTGTTTGGTTGCTATGGGCAACTGCTTCATATTCTGTCTGGTGCGGTTTTAATAAGTTCCCCCTAATGCAGAACATAAGCATTGATATCTTCACCCCTTTAGCATTGCAGTGTATATATCTAGTTTACTGAGGACATCTGCCAGCATAGTACTGACTGGGTTAATTATGGTAAACCTGTCTCCGTAGCTCCTACAACATTACAAACAATGGGAAAGCGGAGTAGGGTTTTGGAGTTTTTTGAAAAGTGTGTGTTTGTGGGGGTTTCTTTTCCCTCCCCCCTGCATAAATTATATCTTGGATATTATCCCAATTTGGCTGCAAAAGTGAATATGCACATTTAAAAAATGTATTTATTTGGTTCATTTTATATATGCCATTGTCTCTTGTTTAAGGGCAACCTTGTATATGGTCAATATGGTCGTCCAGAAGATTTCATCGCTTTGCAGTCTTCTAACATTAATGTGACTGGAGTATTGGTTCTTTTACGCGCTGGACAAATTGACTTTGCTGAAAAGGTAACTTGTTTTGTAGCAGCTTATATCCTTGTTGGATACTTTTTGTTCAGTTAGTGATGCATTATTTTTTTGTAATTCTTTCTTTTTTGTTTCTTCAGGTTAGAAATGCAGAACTTGCTAAAGCTGCTGGTGTCTTGATCTACCCTGAACCCTCTGACTTCACCTTTCCTTTTGAATCTAACTTAGACATTGAGGCACCTTTTGGGCATGTAAGTTTTTTTAAGGAGGATTTTTTTTTCTTTATTATTGGTATTAATCCATTTATTACATAAGGTAGTGTAGGGGATAACCTCTGATGTAGGACACCCTGAACATTGGGCCCACTCCCAGCATCACTGGAATGAGCGCTGTCCCTTTTATAAAGACCTACACCACAAGGGTGCGATGGGCGCTTACAGCAGCAGGGTGAAAACCACAGATGTATGGCGGTACTGAGTTGGCCAGCTGTAAGCAGTTGTGTTCCACTGTATGCCATGCGTCGGTGGCAGGGAAAGGGTTAAAATCCCTAATGATATATTTTCTGAAAGCAGAGGCCCTGCAGAATAAAACAAAAATGCTGGGTGTGGTGGAGAGGAAGCAGCAACCGTTTTGGCATTAGACAAGTGATTGGACGGGCAGCTCTACAGCCATTAAACATAACCACTTTAGGACCACGGCACGTATTGCAGTCACAAAGTGGTTATTAATCTTGTCCTCAAGTCGCGCATAAAATCTAACCCAAGATGTTCTCTTTAGTCACTGGTCTGGTACTGTTTCCTTCTGTCAGGGATGAGTTTGTTGAATTCTATACAGCTACAACTGTTTGTGGGGCCGGTTAAAGTGTGTCTGGGCAAATTAAAAATGCAGTACATCTCTGCAATACATGCACTATACCTCCATGTTTTGACTTTTCTGAAAATGTTGCAGGTATGCAAAGCTACCTGTTGATCCTGCTGGAAATGCACTTGGCTCCCAATGACAACATGGTGCCAGTGCGGCACTGAAACCCAAGCAGTGTTGTCAGCCCTGCCCAGTTCTTGTATGCTGTGCTACAAGATACCTCCTCCATGTTACGGTGGTGAGGAGGGGATCAAGTGTTCTGTAACCCAGAGGGATAGAACCTTGGCAAGGCTAACACTGCTTGGGGTGTCAGTGCAGCAGTGGCTATGTTGTGTGCTCAATATAGATGTTTATGAGCTTGCTGGATTTTTAGCAGGTTTAACATATATTCTTCTGAAGCATGTTTAGAGAACCAGAACATGAACAATACAGCCATACTGCATACAGCCTTCTGTCTCAAACTCTTTTGCTGGAATACTGGTTGGCTCACCATTCAACGTGGTACGGATCTGCTATTGCTATATGGCATTCCTGCAGGTGGCGATATTACCCTACCATTCAGGATCTACGATCTGTTGCCTGTGTCCTTCAATGAACGGAGAGAAAAGGATTTTACGGTGAGTACAAAATCCTATTTTTAGTGTTGATCAGGAACAACTGGTTTAATGCCATGCTATTTTTTTTAATAGGCTGGCGGGTCAGGTACAAATGTTAAGTGAAAGTGCAGGACTTCTTTTAATAACGTGTTTCAAATTTTTTTTTTTAATCTTATTCTGAAGGCTCATTATGGCACTGGAGATCCTTACACACCCGGCTTCCCATCATTTAATCATACGCAATTCCCTCCATCGAGATCCTCTGGCCTGCCAGGAATTCCAGTTCAGTCCCTTTCTAGCAAGGATGGAAAGACTCTGATTGGGTATGATGAAAAATACCAATTGGCTGCTCAATTATATTTTTAAATTGTTATACGTAACATGAAGGTGCAAATCATCATTACTGCTGCTGGAATTTTTTTTTTTTTTTAACAATGTTAATTGATGTTTTTTGGGGGATTTAAATCAAACCTCCCATGGGTAGAGCCTTGCCGGTATGGAGTGTCTGGAGGTACCTGTACAAATCTGCAGCATTTTCTAAGCCCTGTTTCTCCTGAACCCCCAAGCTGTTCCGACTGGCAAAGCTCCTGCACTTCCTGGTAGTGTTGAGTCTTGCTTGTCTTTTCCTTTGCATTCCTATTGGCCACTGAGGCAGCCAATTATGGCGATGGGCTGGATGAAGGGGCAGGCAGGATTTGACACAAAGACTGGTCTGTTATTTAAACCAAAACGGTGGGATGTGGAGGCTGCTGCAGGGTGAATGCAAGCACCTCTGTTGCCTGCTCTTTATCACCTTACAGCTTGTTTAAACTGCTGTTGACATGATGGAAATGTTAGGTGCCAAGGTGCTCACAACTGAATTTATTCACCTGCCATGACCCTATTGGATGCAAGACAAGTTTTCTCTTCATTTAGCAAACTCTAGGTGACAATTTTTCTGTGTACTTGCAACTCCTGCACCTGGTATTCCTGGGCAGACAACTGTATCCAATCAAAAACAGAAGAGAAAGATATTCATAACTTCTTCCCAAAACAGCCACCATGAATTTCCTTTCCCCTTGGTATTACCATGTCCCTAATTTTAATATGGGGTTCAAGGTCAAATCAGTTGACTTAGTATCCAGCACTGCAGCACTTGGGGTACTAGTCCTTCTAATGTGAGTGCAAGGAATTGTTCCCCATCAGTGGCACCATTTTGTCCACTCCACAACGTGGCTTTTTTTTGTTCTTTTTGTTTCCCGGACTACCAACCCTAGGGAGTTTACCATAGGCAGCGGGGCATTTTCTTCTCCTGCACACCAGTCTGGCCATTTTAAAGTCTGAAGGACAGTGAACTGGTTCTGTTTAGAATGTTTTGGACGCCTGATGTATTTATTTATTCATTTTCCCCCCTCCAGAAAACTGGACAGAAAGGACTGCCCATCAGACTGGGATGTTGGCTGCAGGCTTAAAGACCAGTATACAGTTAAACTTGAAGTTGACAATGTTTTGGCTCAAAAGAAGATTCTCAATGTGTTTGGTGTTATCAAAGGGTTTGACGATCCAGGTAATTTCCGTGTGTGGTGTGTTTTTCAGTTTTTGTACAATTGCGTAAACCACTTTGAGTCTAAAGCCCTATTGCTCTGATCTTTACAGATCGTTATGTTGTAGTTGGTGCTCAGAGGGATTCTTGGAGCACGGGTGTTGCTAAATCAGTCGTTGGGTCATCAATTCTCTTGGAAGTTGCCCGTGTAATAACACAAATGGTTAAAGAAGGCAAGTATATGTATATGTTTTTTGACTTTTTATTGAAAGGTCAGTCCATGCTAAAATATTTAAGTTCTAGGTGGTCCAACACCTTGGAAACGAGCTTAACCTATAGCCCAATATTGTGCATGAACTGGGAATCACTGCTGCCTCAGGAAAGGCTCTGTGCCTCTCGGTAAACAATGAATAGAACACCGGTTCCAGCACATCGCTCCGTGTTCTGATCCTTTATTAAATATCAGATGAACACTTCAGTTCACATCGTAAACCCTCCTAAAGAGTTTCAGCCACACAGCCTTAGTCATAGCTGGTTGCATACAGTCTTCAAAACATAAAATACCCTGACAGCTGAGGGAGGTGCTACACAGCCATAAACAATTGACTCAAATTATCCTAGACAACACGTATAGTACTTCACTTGGTGGGATAGAATTAGAAAGCTAAAGACCACTTGATTCCAGACTGCAGACATCGGCTGCATTAGTGGGCACACTGCAAAAGGCACTGGGGCAATTAGCAGGGCCGGCCTTAGGGGTGTGCGGCCGCACAGGGCACCATGGCAACAAAGGCGGCCGACACAGCTCGTCCTCGGGGCGTCTTCTCTCCTCCTCACCGCTGCCCATCCGACATGACAGCGCTCCTTGTCCGCCCCCGGGTGGCGGGGGCACAGGGAGCGCTGCCTGCTATGAGGGGGAGAGAAGCCGTGCCCCCAGCTGTCGGGATGGCCGAGCGAGGAGGAGATTGGAGCCGCTGTCATCCTGTCAGTTTCAGGATGACAGCGGCTCTGTGCGTGGCAGGACGGGGGATCGGTAAATATCATTTGATACTTACTGATCCTCTGTGTGTGGACAAACACTGGAGTGATCATCTGTTCACTCCAGTGTTTGTAAATGGGGTTATGAATTAACAGGCTGTGATTTACATTACAGCCTGTTCATTCAATATTTCCTCAATGGGGAGAAGCACTCACTACAGAGGCTCCTCCCCATTCAGAAACAGCTGATGGTAAATATTTGAATGGGAAGCCTCTGTACTGATGTACTGAGAGCTTCCCATTCATTGAGTGCTGAGGCTGCAGAAAAAGAAATTGAGGATTTGGTGTCCTCAATTTCTTTTCTATTTTAAAAGGGAAATGTCATAAACATACAAAATGTTTATGCTATTTTGGATTCGGCCATTGGCGTGTTCTGGAGGCAGGGCGCATTACCTCATATGACACCGCACGTGCTGGGCGCCGCCATCTTGGTGAATATCTAGGTATACACCAAGATGGCGGCGCCTATATCGACGTGTGACATCACCTGATGCCACGCATGCATGGCGTCATGTAACGTCATGCTCCCTGCCTCCAAGATGGTGCCACGCATTCACAGAACATGCCGGTGGCCAACATGGCCGCCGCACATTCTCAAACAAATTTATTATGTGTCTGAATAAATTTTTTGTGTATATATTCGGGCAAATAGTAATTCATTGATTTACACGTAGTCCGGGTTTTGTGTTCTGTTTTTTATTTGTACTTTTCTAGATATACTTAGTTGAGTATACTTAGTGGTTACTGGGGATGTGGCCACTGAGGGGTGTGGTCACTGAGGGGCGCTGTAAAGCTTTCTCGCACAGGGTGCCTAAAGGCCTAAGGCCGGCCCTGGCCATTAGTAAAGTACTGCAGAGTAGGACTGCCCCCCGTGTCTACAAAGTGACACATTGCAACTGCACGGCAGTTAGCCAACATGAGGCTCGGCATTAGAGGCAAGACCTTGGGTGCTCACAAAACTCAAGCAGGTGAGGGACTAATGGTCAGAGGGGACCGTGGTCACTGCAGGCAGTACAAGTAGAGCCAAGATTGGTGTTCTGTGTGGTTTTTTTGCTATGCAGGGCAAATGCTTCCTTGATGAATGCCAAGAATAAGCATACGTCATACTCCAACCAGTGGATGACATCACTGCTTGGTCCCTTAGTTAACCCCTTCTGCAATAAGAGCAAGCAGGTATTGGTAATGTTAAAGGCTTCCAATGATCCAAGGGTCATTAGACATGCAGCAAGTGCTGAGTAAATGTTAACGGTTTTGCACCTGGGAGGCAAGCACTCTACAGCTAACTTGTCACCAAAACAGGGTTTGGAAAAGTAAAAATGCAGTGCATGAATGGCTCTTCCAGGCTAGTGCCACAAAGTCCAGTCCGGCTGTCCAGTCACATCGCTCCAAAAAACTAGACTAAGAATAGGCCGTACCTAATAATAATATTAATAATAATAATAATAATAATAATAATTTCTTCGAAGAGAACAGCACTAGCAACAATGTAGAGTCTTGGTTTGAAATATAAATCATGCTAGCTAAAATGTTAGGCTTTACCCAGCACAGTGGCACAAACATTGCCCACCCTCCTAAGATACTAGCAAAAACTGAGGTTTGTGGGTTTTTTTTGTTTTTGGCTAGTCTTGCAATATAACATAAGTGAGACTTCCTGTGTCCCTCAAATTAACAAAATGTACATTTTTAAAATAGATCTTGTTCTCATTGAAGAATCAATTTGCTGGAATAAGTATATATTGAGGAATTTTATTTTTAACCCTTGAATATTTTTTAACCCTTCTAGATCAGTATAAACCCAGACGCAGTATTGTGTTTGCAAGCTGGAGTGCTGGTGATTTTGGAGCTGTTGGTGCCACTGAGTGGCTAGAGGTAAGATTGACAACTGTAACCTGCTTCCTACAAACATAACCTTTCTGTGATTTTTCAGTAATCTCTCTCCCATTCATATAATTTGGATGCAAACCTAAATAAGAGCATGCGTTCTTCCAAGTATGTCATGTCAGCAAATAGCTGCCAACCTGCAAAATATATATCCTTTTTTTTTTCGGCTGCGGAAATTGACGATTAATTCCTCAAATAATCCTTAAACTTTTTGATCGATTTTAAAATTCTTTGATGAAAAGACTCACCTCTCCTCCGCCTTCTGGGAGTCCCGTTTCGGCAGGATTTGGCTAGCAATTGGATGTGGGGAAGAAAGGTGAGGTCCGAGTCAAGGATGACACCAAGTACCTTGGCATGAGGGGAGGGTTGAATAGTTGTGTTATCAATCACAACTGATATGTTGGGGGAAGGTGCACAGGCAAGAGGAAATATCAAGAGCTCAGTTTTTGAAAGGTTGAGTTTTAAGAAATGTTGTGACATCCAGACTGATATGTAATTTAGTAGATTAGTGACTGATATTATGTTGCAATCAGGTCCTTACATGAAATGGAATGGACAGGTGCTGCTACTTAAAATATTAAGCTAATACTTATGTTTAAATCACCCTTAGGGCTTTGCTGTTTTACTATACTATGTAAATACATTTGTAATCCAGCACGTTATTATTCTGAGTTTCCCCACTCAAGCGGCGGCCATATTGAGTGGGGCACGTGAGATTAATAACGTGCTGGATTAGTGTGATCTTAGTTCAGTGTGCTGTGTGTGTATAGGCCAATGTAGTCGGATCTGTATGTGCGTTTATAATCCATTAAATTTTTTTTTCGATTAATCGAACACATTTTAATCATTACCAGCCCTACTTTTTTTTAATACCAGTAAACTGTTTTATCAAAGCTAAATTCTTGCCTTGTAGGGGTACCTTTCAACTCTGCATCTGAAGACTATATCCTATATCAGCCTGGATGGTGCTATTCAAGGTATGATGTCAATTTTTGCTTTTCAGTTAATGTTAAGCAAATGCTGCACAGATGGAGCGAGATATGAAGTACTGTATACTGCATTGACATGTAACTCTGTGCCTCACTTCTCTTTTCATAATGTAGCGGCAAACAAAGTAGTAGGCTTCACGGCACAATGTAGCTACTGTGAAATCTTTTTCCTTGCAGGTGTAGCAACTTAAGTTACTTGTGTGTACAGTTGTATTCACTTTATTTTCACTTTATGCTCAGTAGCGGTTTTAGCAAATATTTTTTTTTTAAAGCTAAAAAAGCAATCCCTGCAAAGAAAACTGTTTGCCTGCTTCACCATCCATTCTGCCCAACTCTGCTGCGGTTAAGAAATACTTGCTGAAAGATGAATTTTGGGAGTGTCGGATGTCTTTTACTTTCGCCAGACCCCTATGTAACTACTGTCCTGTAGAAGCTGGTGGATGGAGCCACAGAAAGCAGTGGGGGTGCCATCATCAGACACTCTAGAGTACTGTAACGCAGATAAATAGTGAAAATGTTTTATTTTTTTGCATGGATTTCTGGTTTTCATCAGTGACCGTCACTTTAAAAGGCCAGTTATTGTTGTTTTTTGTTGCTATCACATGTAT